CTATTATTCCTGGTGCCACATGATGTTTGATCCTTTATCTGAACTGGAGATGCTCTTCTGCTCAGAGACCTGTAACCACATAACAAAACATGTGGCTCCTCTTTAGACTCAAGATCTTTGGAAATGCAGGTTTGGAAGGCAACAAGAGGTCAGAATAGGCATAATTTTAAAGTAGAACCTTTAACTCTAACTAAAAGCTTGTTCCTTGCTTCATGTATAATTGGAAACAGTCTAGATTCTCCTAAATATTTGAAGATACTAATGGGTTTAAGTGAATCTGAATGCAAGGGAAGCCAGCATAAAGCATTTTATACTTCACTTCTCCATCTGACTTGGTTATTTGCCATGTTAGATTGCAACAGGTCCATAGTTGTGGCTTACAGTTTTTCTTGCAGTGCAGCTGTACTGCATATCTTCCTTTATGCAGAAAGGCTTTGCAGTTCTCTGCAGGAGAATCTTAATCATATAAAAGCCTGAAAATTATTGACCTTCAATTATTGAGCTTCAACTGTACCACCATAATAAAGTCTAATATACAGCAGTAAGGTCATGCTAATTCTGGCAACTGCCTCCATTTTAGCTTTCCCAGAGCACGTCTACACACCCTAGCCCAGACTGTGCTGCACCTGCTCCATCCATGTGCTGTACTGCCCAGCTGCAAGCAACCGTTGGCAGGGAGTCATGTTTGCATTAGGCTTGGTGCTATGCTAAGCCATAAGTCTTGAGCATAGTTGTGTAAATCAACACCATGCTCCTCTCCTGTTTATCACGACCATCTTGCGCATCAGGCTGTTCTTGAGAGGTGGGGCTTATTTGCTCAGTGCTGAGCTAACTCACTCTATAGTGAGTGAAACCCTGTGGTTTCTGGTCCAGAGCTGATATGCAGATGGTGAGGTACTCAAGCGGATCAGAGCCATACCTGTGCAAACCTGACTGCAAAGTGTCTCCTAAGCATTTATTTTTCTTTATTCTCTCAGTGATGGAGAGGGAAAAGATTCTTATAATTGCTCTTTACGGGGTTTGGAGAAAAAAAGGCTAACAGACATTACAGCTCAGACTTCTCTGCTTGTGCTAACAGGTATAGGATCAGATTCATAAGTCTTCATTGACAGATGTAGGTTTATTTTATTATGCATACATAAAGTTCTACACATGTAAATGGTTGTCTCTGAATGTGGGTAAGCTCCACCTCAGGACTGTACTGATATGGCTGTGCTGTTCCTGGACTACAGCTGGCATGTATCTAGGTAGCCAGGAGCGCTGGTGGAGGAAATTTGTGACCGTTTCTACCTAAGCACATAGATATACCGATGCAGGGGTAGGTTTCTGAAAGTGAGACGTAGCAGTGTTAGCTCTTTCCTCCCTTCCTCTCTTTGGCTGCTTCTCACCACTTAATAATTATTTTGAGAGAGGTGGACTAAAAAGGCAAAAGGACTTTTAAGGACTTTCTTTTAAAAAAAGAAACAATATGAGCAACCAAAAATTTGGCAGATGGAGCAAACAGACTTACTAATCAGAAAATCTTCCTTCCATACATAAAACTTTCTAAGAATTTTTCGTGACTTTTACTTAGGGAAAAAGAGCTTTCGGACAGTTTCCATTTGTAGTACTAATATGGGTAACAGGTTTTATTCTGAATATTAGACAACCATATTTAAACCACTTATTCTTTTATGTTTAGATACTCTTCTAGTGTGTGGTGTATCAATCTGAATGTCCACATATTATCTGACATGGAAAGAGTTTTACAAACTGAGTGCCAGTAAAACAGGATGTTTATCACCTATCTTTGACCTCTAACGATGACAGTGATTCAGACTCAGTCTGGGGAGCCATGGTTTTTAAATAGCTCACGAGGAAAGGTAAGGACTTCAGAAAGCATTTAGAGCTGAATGCATAACTTCTAGATCACGAAGCTCTTTCCATATCAGATCCATCTTTATGGAGCAGCAGGAGGCAAAGAAAGGCCGAGCCGCACAAGTCTGTCTGGGAAGCGCTGCTGCTTGCAATAGATGATGATTTACAGAATTAAGAACTGCAGAGGACTTGCAAGTATAATATTTGCGAACGCATTATTCTGATCCTGAAAAAACTTACAAGTAACTGAAAAATCAATGTATTTAGTTTTAAACATGGTGAATAGGTCTATTTGTGACCTTACATTTCAGTCCTTTCATGCAGCATATCTTTGCTAAGTGTCATTAAAAATGCAGGGATTAGCAACAGACTCCAAAGTAACTGATAAACAGGTGTCTAGAATGCAGTGAAAAGGAGAAGTTCAATAGCAACTAAAAGCTCATTTTTCCTATTGGTGAGACTAAAGCAAGAGAGGCATGAAGCTCTTGAAGTGTAACAGGGTAAATATGCCATACGCTTTGAGAAAGATTCCTTGTCATTTGTAAACAATCTTTCAAAGAAAAATCTACATTAAACTACACAAGCGGTTTCAGAGATCTGTCGTAATGCTACTCTTTCTTTTCGGTGAGCTCATATGCCAAACACAGTGAAGAAGTTTAAGTTTTGAAAACAAAAAATCAATTATGGAATTTGTGGTACTACGAAACTCAACAAGGAAAGATTAGAAGGAGTGTAGTATCAGCAGTATGAAACTCAAACCGACACTGCTTTGTGCTGTCCTGAATATAAGTTTATATTTGTCTTTGACTGGATTCACATGTAGCACTTAAGTGCTTTTCAAAACCAGGCATCAGAAGAAAAGAACCATCAGTACCAAAAATGCAGACGAAATATTTGTAGTGAGCTTTAGGACTATGCCATGGTGTCATCATTTGTAATTTGCTTTAAAAGCAAAGAAAGGAATAAAAAAGAATTTGGCAGATTGTTACAGAACCCTACTGATGGGGATAGTCCTGGTACATCTCATAGACCCGCTTGCATGAAGCTGCTGCAAGTATGTTCAGGCTCCTGAGTCCTACTGTGTAAAAGAAATGGAGGGGTCAAAGATAACAGTTGCTCTTTTACATCAGAATAAACCATCTCAATACTTATAGCTAGATCTCAATTGAAACTTAACTGTGACAGATTGGCAAGATTTTTCAATGTGGAGCTACAGTTCTTTAAAAACCCAGTCATGAAATCCAGAGGAGAAAAAACAATGGGTCTTACAAATATAAAAAGATGTAAACAACAAAAGAGCTAGTTCAAGCTGACAGGACAAAAAGGAATGTACTCAAGCTACAGCAAGTGTATTTCACATTCAATGACAGGAAAAGTATTCCAAATTAAACACAAAAAGTGGGAGAAAGGACAAACAAAAATCTTCAAAAAAAGAATTCTGAAACTTGACTATTAAATTCCAATACTATTAATCACTACTTCTAATCCCGTCCACAGTGTAAAGCGGGTGGCCTCATAACCACCCAAAATCTCATCTAGTTTAGGACTGGGCTAGCACAGTATCAGCATTATATAATATCCATCTTTTCCTTTGGAAATGAACTTCATAAAAACAAAAGCAGAACTGCAAATATTGTGCATACTGTTTCTTATTTCCAGTCGCAAAATACCACAGTATGTAAACAAGGCACTCCAAAGCCATGCAACTGTCCTGCTCATCTAGGGGGAAAAGTACTGCAAAGTCCCCTTTCTCAAGGACATAAAAAGTGTTGAAGAAACTCTCGACCTTTTCACAAATAAGTAATGCTTCTGGATGTAACCTTTATGCATCAGTTATACACTTTGTAGCTCCCCAAAACACAGGCCCTTTATTTTAAATAGGCTTAAAGTGTCTGCTGTTTTTCAGATTATGTATTCGATTCAGGGAATTTCAGGCACTAGTGAGAACAGCTCTTCTGTCTTGTTCAGCACGGCTCTGTCCTGACTTTCTGCATCACTATCTTCCCTGCCTGTTGCTACTGACTGGAACTCACAATGTCTCACAGAGCAACTGGCATTTTTTTCAACGTACATGTTAGTTACTTCTAGGCCGACGTCATATTCCTTGGAAACAGACATACTTGCTCATTTTACCTGGCTACAGTGTCACCCTTGTCTGTAAATTGGGAGGATGGATGATCAAGAATAGCGTATATCATAAATAGCAAGTACTATAACATTTTTCATAAAGTCAAATAATTTCCTGTTTATAATTAGGAACTGTGAACGCAAGTTGCATGGGCTGAGTATTTAAGCTTACCTGGTTTTGCTACTCTGGAATATAAACCAGGAGAAAAGTCAGCCAGAACTTTTTCACAAATGTGTACACTACGCTTTGTGGGTTTTTTTTAAGAAAGTAGAAGATCTTATTATTTGTGCATGAAAGTAAAGTACCACAGATACCCCACTGCTGTAACTTCAGTCTACAGCAGGTTTTTTTACAACAATTTTTGGAAATATTGCTAATAGTTATCTTGCTTACCTTGGCTGAATAACAGAAACCATGGGGACTACCCAAATGTAATGCATACAGAACACTGTGCTGCCGTCATGTAGATGTGTATATTGTAACTGTGTGTGTCAGCCAGTCACTCCAGAAACATTAAACACAAAAAAAAAGGAGTGGAGCAAGTAGCAACCTAACACATTCAAAACCAAATAGGGTTAATGGGAGACTTGCAGCTTGAAAGTGATGCTTCTGTCTGGACATACTTACCTGGCATAATTATGAGACTCTGAATAAATGACCAGGACTTTATCTGTGATTTTTGCATTCCAGCAGCTTTACAAATAGTCAGTTTAAAAGATCGTTGCCATGGGTATTGCATAAATAATTTCATATACATAAGTATATATGTATATATATTATCTATGTGTGTGTGTACAAATGCGTGTTAAACAAAAGCTCTAAGAAGATTTAAAAAACCCATAGCATACTTCATAATTTATTTTCTAGGATAAACTATATTTTTAATTAATCACTTCAGAAATCGAAGCTGTCAGTGACCTTTTAAAATGACTATACATATACAGCACACTGTTAGATGAATATTGATTTTTTTCCCCCTCCACTGCAAGCAAAGTTTACAGAATTAGTTTTGATACTGAGAGATAATTATTAAGCTTCAATTTTGTTTCTTAAGTTTATAATTCGGCCTTTTGATTGTGAGCATTTTTAGTTGTTAAGTCTAAGTAACCAAGCAACTATGTGCAGAAATTAACCTTTTTATTATATTATATACTGTAGTGGTAAAGTTTGTTTGAAGTGCATGAATAAAAAGTTAGTGAAATTACAGGAGGAACAATCTAATATAGCAATAATAGGTGCATTCACTGTGCATCTGAGAGGAGGAGGGGGGAAAAAAGAAGAGTTTTCACTCTTTTTTGGCCTAAAACATGTTCAGGTTTCCAGGACTCTGACATCAGAACCCAGATAACACTGGTTAGAACCATAGGGCTTTACAATAAAAGCTAAAATATTGACCATATGATGGCAAAAAGTCTTTATTTGTGGTTAACTTATTCTCTTCTAGCTACTCTCTGATGAAGTTGGTGGTGCTGTGGAGGATGATCTCCTTCTTCTTGACAAAGATCGTGATCGTTCAGCACTGTAGGCAACATGCTTATCATAATTTTGTATCTGAGCCTCAAGGAAATCCCTCTGTTGCTGGCTGATTGTCTGGCTAATCAGTCCAGGGAGAGCTTGAATGCTACCAATTAAAGTTTCCAGTTTAGTTTCCAGAGTAACAATTCTCTTCTCAAAATCTTCGCTTCTTTCATTTAAGTCAGAAATCATGTCATACATGATGTTTTGAGTCTGAAAGCAGAAGGATGTAAACACGGGTTTAGAGAGACCTTACAAATATTGTAACAAGCAGCACGACTCTACAAGGATTTGTAAATGCTTTTGCACTTAACAGAAAAAAAGGATATAAATATTATAACAATATCTAGTCTTGTGAAATAATTTTCCTTGTAGATTCAGAATAAACTTTCTATAAATTTGTTGAGCAGAAATGCAATATACTTTGAGTAGCACTTCAGATGTCAAGGTCTTAATGAATTAGACAAAAGACTAGACTTTTTTTGGAAGTTCAGGTGCTTAGAAATGCACCACGCCAAGCTTTGTGAACAGCCAGTTGTGTAAGCCACCAGGAGACTGAAGGCTCCAAAGCCATGATCCATCCTTGACTCTTCTATATTTCTTCCTCTGGTTTTAAACATCCTCATTCTTCTGAGCAGAACACAAATGTTGTTCATTTGCTTTCTCCTTAAACTGACCAGGTTTTCTTGAACCAGCTGTAGCATGACTAGTTGGGTAGATTGTTTTTGAAATGTAGTGCAAGGAGCAGAAACTCAACTATATGCTTCTCTATTTCTGTGTTCCCCAATCTGTCTGACCTCTGCAAAACAGTGTCTGGTGCAGCAAGTATATAGCCTGTACTCTAAAATGCCACAGCGATCAGTAAAATCTGAATATCTGAAACATGTTATTTCATAGAGATTTGGAACTGGTTAAAAATAATGACTGTCTTTCTCCCTCTGATAGACTGAGACTTCAGATGAGACTTAAAATAGAGTCAAAACTGGATGTAATTCAGTAGACAAACTGGTTGAAGTTTATAAACCATCCAAAGGGAATGAAAATTAATTGAACTGACTGCCTGAAGTGTAAAGCACTTCAGTATCAGGTGAATGTTGATAACCTATTTCTCTGCCCCCTGTTTCATGATACTAGCATAACCCTTGAAAGCAAAGTAGTCTACATTAAATACTATCTGAAAAGTCCTTGTCAGTTGCCAGAAGCGTTAGACTGAAAGGTATTTTCAGCAACTGAAGTTGTCAGGTGGTTCTCTAGAGCAAAAGGGGAATGAACACAGAAGAGTTTAATCTTTGCTTTGATGCACTTTAAATTGATGGTTTTGAGGTACATGAAGAGGTGTACAAGAAACCCTTAGGAAAAGCCCATTAATGCCTCTAATATAGCCTCAAATTAAGATCAAAGTAACTGTTAAATACTGAGGTCTAATGTGAAGCGCGGAATGCTATCAGCTCAGCACTCTAACTCTCCAGCTATTGTTTTATATTAATGGAAAATCCCAGCAACAGCAGACAAGCAGTTTGCAACTGAATAGCCTCTTTTACCTCATCTCAAATTGCTTAAAAAAGATTAATAAAGCCTTATGATATATTGGCAAAGTAGGCAGCTACTATTCATTATAAAAACTTTAAAAAATGCAGACTTAAATTTACTTGTCTAAAGTTACTGCTGCATAAGACAACAAGAATAGAAAACCAGAAACTCTAATTCTAGTCTGTGTGAAAGCCTGTGTACTATGGTCTGTCACGGTACAGTCACTATCACCAGGCGGGAAATCTCTTTACTATGCAGCACTGCACTACTACAGCCCACTCACAGTTCGGCATTTACTATGACCACTGCAGTCACTTAGGAGCTCTCAGGATCAGCCTCTCAATTGTGAAATCTTGTTCAAATGTATAAAAAAAACCCAACATGGTGCATTCAAACTTTGGTCAGAGCCATAAACAAGATGTTTTTCATTCAGTAGGTGTTAGCACAAAACACACACACATTTTCATTTTCTACAAGTAACAAACTTGTCAACAATATTTGCATGTATACTGCATAACATCTTCACTCACAAATTCTGAATGTTGAAATAACAGTAATTGCCTACTAACCTTTGCCAGGTCCACCAAAGTGTTGGCTTGATCATTCAGTTTCCTTTGTTCCATTTTTACACTTCTTAATCTAAAAAACGGAATTTTAAGTCAGATATTTTTGTGTATGGGGTCATATTAGGATTTCTAAAAAGCATGCACAAAACTTACAAGAGCAAATAACTGCATGGACAATGCCTTGAGTACTTCGTGTAAAGTCAGAGTTGGTCATGTGCCTGCTACAATGAGAAGCATGCTTCTTCAACACCACAAAAAAGGAAAGAGCAAGGAAATGTGATGTCCTTGAGAACCATTTGCCATGGTCAAAGTTGAATTCAGAAAGGGTAATAACAATTTATCCAGACTATATGAAAGAAAGCCAAAACATTCCTCAAAGCCTCAGTATCGTGACAAGTAGATATAGGAAGAAACATAGAACAACTTTTTTTGTCATTAATATGGTAGCAATCAAGAATCTTCCCATGCCTACATGACTAGATACAGGTATTAGCCCTGTTCTGTCGGAAATGGATTGGGTTAGCAGGTGTTTCAACCTGATGGAAATACAGTGATAAGTGAGTTTCTCACGTCTTTAAACAGAACTTCCATCTGACCAGCAGCTAAATAACCAACATTCTTGCCAATACATTTGATTTTCTTACATGATTTGGGAATCTAAATATGATTGCATTTTAAATTTACATTAGACATTCCATTTCAATGAGCTATTAAAACTACAGCATTGAAAAACTATGAAAGCAGCAATGGTGTATTTTTCGCTTTGATGCCTACCTATCTGCACTGTTATTAGTTATGCATATTCTTTGAAACATATATACATGCCCTTTCTGATGTGTTCCATGAAACAAAGTCCATGTTTTTCAGATTAACTGCTAGAGGGGTGGTTTGTAGATGCAAATTTCACAAATAAGCAATTTCACCCTAAGTATGAGTCATTTGTTCAACATTTCCCAACAGAGAAATACTTGGACATTTCTGGTGGCTGTTCTAAGCAGCAAATAGCATTTTTCAAAAACAATAGATCAATTTATAAACAATTTGTAATAAGATGAAGTCTACCAGGACCAACCAAGGAAATCACTTGGTTAGCTGTCAAATGAAAATAAGTTTGGCAGCATTTTGTGGCAGGTAGGTTGCTAGTGCATACACTGCCTATTTCTTAGTGATGGTGTTACTCAGAAAGCTAGTTTAAAGAAAGCCTTCTTGGAGATACTCCAAAATGACGAAGTTTCTGTTCATATTGTTAGTTACCAAGGATTTCCTTTCACATCTAGGTTAACCACCATGAGAAAATAAGTTGTGAAGAGTGAAATATCTTTTAAAACACACAGAAATAACTTTGTTAAGGTAGACATCAATTGTTCACATAAAGTTGACATTCTGGTGACTTGTTACTGGAATGTCACACACTCTTCTTCCCATGGAGGCTTACTTCAGAGCATAACATAAATGCAGACTGTAGGAATGGTGCTTTCAGAGGCTATGAGCTGGAGCTACTCTAAAGTAAAAAATACAGAGGAGTCTCCAAGGTATGGAGTTATACCATTACCGTCTCAGAATAGAATAATTACTCAAAGGTAAGCATGTAATGATTTCACTGGTGAATGATAACCCTAGTATTTCAGTGAGTGTCTCCAATAATTTGCAGAATATGTGTTCTCTGCTCTTCTTAAGATTCATTGGCTCATCTGTTTGCCAGTTAGAATTTTAATTTTCAAATTCCAAGAAATCCTTTGTTATTGTAGCAATATAGGTACCAGCTAACATCAACATGTTAATTCCTCTTGGTAATCAACCCAATACCTACCACAGACCATAAAAATGTATCTGTAGGTAATGGCAAGTCTTTAGCTGCAGCAGTCAAATTTAAAGAAAACTGTCAGACTGTTGTTCCTAAATTCATTAAGAGAAAACATGAAACATCTTGATTTTGTGAACTTCACTTATCACAGCAAAAGATCATGATTCTGGATCGCGTTTCCATGGCAGCAATCAGACCACTAAAGTTCACAAATAAAGACTCTATTTTTTGCATGCAGACAGTGGTAACTCTGCAAATTCAGAAACGAACAGCTTATACAACTTACTTCCGAGCTCTATTTTCATTTTGTTGAAATAAAAAGACAAAACAAAAGAAAACAAACTGTAAAAATATACTAAAACAACAAAATGAGCACAGTGGGCTCAATTCAGCAGGTGGGAAGTCCTAGGGAGTTGCTACTGCTTTCAATTAGTAAGTGCCTGAGGCGGAGTTTAACTTGCATACATGATGAAGGAACCTCCAATAGCTTCAAACCTTCCCATTAACTATCTTCTGTAGATTTTCTTATTCACATAATACATAAAATGCCTTTTAATAGTATCATTTAGAGCGATGATTTCATCTTTATCTTATGTGCATGAGAAGCAAAAAAGACCCAGACCAGCTGAGGCAGTTTTAGAGCTGTGACCGTAAGTTTGAGACTGTTACCATGACCTCCTCTGGTTTCTTGTATGAAACTGGCCCTAAAACTTCACTCCTTTTATTTCTCTCTCCAGTGAAATGGTTGGAAAGACGAAGGAGGGGGACCAATAAAAACCTAAGAATCCAGAAAGACGGAAAAGAGCCATATACTACCTTGAGTCACTTGAGAAAAGTTCAAAGATGCAAAGGGAGAAAAAATAATTTGCACCCATCTATTCTGTTAAAGCTGGAAGAAAGCAAACTGCTAGAGCAATGTTTCCATCCATGGCACATTCTCCAGCATATCATGAAAATTATCCTTTTTTTTTTTTTTTTCCCCTCTTAAATACAAAAGTTTTGGGAATGAGATGTAAAGTGCTAAAGGACAGAGGGAAATGCATTATTAACACAGCTTTTCAAAGTTTGGCTGGCACAGCTAGGAAAAAATTACTGCTGCCACCTTCTTCACCCCACCTGGGTAATGAATTTTTAAGGCAGGTACAGAGCAACATTTTATATCTTGTGAAGCTCTTCTGGGCTTCAATGATATATAAAGCTGCAGATCGAGCCTTTTTAGATTCTTCTTTATGTGTATAATGATAACATATGTGTACACATACACACAAACAGACAAAATAAATTGGAAAGTTAAAATGTTAAGGAATAACCTTTGCAATCAAAGATTCAAGTTCAGCAAAAGATGTACAGGTCAAGCCATCCTCTATCCCAGAACCCCTGCCACCCCTCTTCACCTCCCAATCCTTTAAAATAAGCAGGATGACCAAAATGGGAAAATATACTTTTGATATCCACATAAAAATGCCTCGACTTTTGTCATGTTCTCATTCCTTCAAGTATTTCTGCAACAGCACAGTAACATTTAATTCTGCAAGTTTGCTAAATACAATATAGTAATCCAGGTTTATAGAATACTTCACACCTTAAGCTTAGCTACCTATTGCTTTAAAACATTGCTATGAAACAGAGAAACAATGACTGTTAAATTTACTAATAGGAAATATGATAATTTGGCCTTTCCTTCCTGTCTTTCCTGCATGTTGACACATATGTGTTCTTTTCATGATGGATGCTTCCCTCACATCTCCTCACAGGCTGGCTTAGGCACAGACCCACACTCAAAAGTGATCAAAACATCAGTTTGAAATTAAACTTAATTTATCTACATCTCCCCAGTATCTCATGGAAACTAATTTCATAGGCTGTACAAAGGGTTACCTCTGGCTGGATGGGGACATAAATAGAGCAGACAAATAGTGGTATGGGTCCTGACCATTCCTCAACAAGAATCTGTGGTTCCTGGGGACAAAGGTCTCTTTTTCTCCCATGTAGTCCAAGGGAGTGTTAATGAATCATTGTGCAATTCTGCTGGTTTTGATGCGCTTCATGACAAGTATGTATTATGAATTTTAGATAAATATGTATAGTCTGGAAATACTATAATTCAGCTTAATCCTACTACTGGTTACAGTTCTCAGGCTTGTTTTCAACCCCTTAAGATTTCAGCAGAGGGGAAGAATTCATCTGAATCATGCCAGAGGTGCTCAAAGATCATGTAACGACTGTTGGCATATATTCCTATTTTCTAGAACGGATGTCAAGGGTCATAGCTAACATACCAACATTTGATTTTATGCACTGAGAATATATGGTGGAGAGAGGCAACTAACTGCTATTGAGCTGTACAATGACGCTTGATGAACATTCTTTTCATTAAACACTACATACATACTCATAGGCTGTCTTCTGTCACATCACTCTTACTTTAAATTACTAAAACATCTACTACAAATGAAACTTTTAATTTTCTTCTGTCTATTGTAGCTTCTATCTTACTACTTGTAAGCAAATATGTAGCAAGAAAGGATAGTCTCAGTGGCAAAAGACAAAAAAAGTAAATCATATAATTCAAGAAGCAAGGGAAACACCTAAAAAAAAATACAAATATGTTTAATTTACCCCATATTGGACATACACAGCCAGGATACTTGTTTATGTTTTTGTAAACAGGTAATATAGTGAAACCTTATCTTTGTCTTACATTTGGAGAAGAATCAACCTCAAGAGCAATGCTTGATGAAAGGGGAGAGAGAGTGGTGGGGGAGAGAAGAGAGGGGGCAGGATGGGACTTGGGAACTATGAACATGGGACAAGAGTCACCATGAGAGAGATGGAAACTAAGAGAGAAAACACCTGGAGAGGAAAACCAAAGCAAAATGGTACTTACTGATGAATAGCTTGCAAGAATTTGCGTTGATGTTTCCTTACTTTCGCATGGTCTATCTTTTTAACCAGCTTTGTGTTTTTATAAATTAACCATGTTTCCCTGAGTACATTGGCCGCTGCATTTTTCACCTGTTTAAATAAAAGAAAAACACCAGACTGACAAAAGAAGCAGTATGTCATGTTTTCTCTTTTCTGGTGTAAACTCTTTCTAAAGCACTTAAGAGCCTGTGGGAAGCAGGTACATCAAGAAGCTGCAGCACTGAGGGCAGAATGCAATAACGGCACCAAGGGGATTGCTGAGCAATTTCCGTATTACTTATAAACATGATATTGGGACCAGTTCTCTTTGCATCAACGAATAATTTGTCCCTTTTTAAAGAGTTAGCACCATTTGGTGTTTATGGCAATATAAATTACAGTGAGGAAATACTAATGCATTATCTGTATGGTAATTAATTTTATAGGATCATAAAACTTCTCTCTTTCTTGTTCTATAGTTAGTACTTCTTAATTCTCTTAGTAATTTGACAGTCTTTTAAATTTCCAGAGCTGTTTAAGCATACTTTTTTTGTTGTTTACACTTTTATTCTTGTTTCTTTTTTAAAATTCTCTGAGGAGATGAAAAAAATATCTTGTCAATTAATATGGCCAGTGTTCTATTTCACAAGTGCTTTGAAGATTTTTTAAATTGAGGCTTTCCATAAAATTTTAAAAGCAAGCATACCTATAGTTCCTTCTTAGGCCCTCCAAAATTTTCAAGAATACTTGGGAACAGCAGACAAAGAATTTCAATGCAATGTTGATTAATGACAGAATGACTAGGTTACTTGAAAAGGAAAACTGCCATTATTTATCTTTATTTTCTCTCCCTCTAACTTTGTATCATGCCATGCATATAGAAATGCCATGCAGTAGCTCTTTCCATCAAGAGGTCCCCACTTTGTACCTATAGAAGTGTGGCAGAACCTTGGTCCTGACTTAAGTGGAAGCACAATCACATTTTAGAGACCTCCTCACAATCTCTACCTAGTCCTTGCATTTCCACAAGGTATGGCTATCTTCAGGCTGTGAGGAAACCTCACTAGTATTGGTGTAACCAATTTGTGACCTGATGCACATCTCAGATTTGTTTGCTTGGTTTGCTTTTCATATGCTTTGAGTTTCATGAGTTTGAAGCTACCAAAGCACCACTTGGATACCATATTAGACTGATAGTTAGATTTATATGAAGGATAGCAGAATAAAATAAACTTTAAAAGGTACAAAGAAACACCAGACTCAAAATCTGGCTGATCTTTACAAAACCTTTTTCCCTCTAAAGACATTTTGAGCTTATCTGTCAGATTACACTAGACAAGTGTCTGTGTTACAAAGGGATAAATTGTTGTCTGTGGTCTAGTATCAGCAAGACCTTGACTGATGGTAATAGGAGTGTAAATCAACATGCTCAGATAGACACCTCAAGTCAGACACCCTTTATACCTATATAAGAACTGCCTTCTCACTCATCCTTAGTCTTTCCCCACTGTGACTGCTTAGAGATAGCAGTGACCAGCATAGAAATGAAGGAGCCAGCACAACCACAGTGGCGTGCTGGTGTGTCCTGGGAACACAGCGTGTAGAGACGTGACACGTCCTTCCACAGCAGAGGACCTGTGGCAGTGCAGCACTGCACTGCTGCACAGAGCTGTGCTGGGGCAGCCCACCTCCTTCTCGCCTGGAGCAGAGCCATGGTTTGCAGCTTGGGCATTAACATCCCTCTCCACTCAGTAAGGACAAGCTCTGATGAGTTCCTGTTGTGAGTATAAGGACCTTCCTCTCCATATTGGCTCTTCTCAATAACGAAGATTAAAGTTGAGAGGACTGTGTAGCTGCTAGTCATCTTCCTGTTCCCTCAACAGTGACCTGTTTTACTTGAAAAAAGGATTTCTATCTCCTTGTTTGCAGCATTCTTTCATTTTCCAAGATGTTATTGTAACTTAAATTATACTTAATAAGGAAAATTTTAAAATATTTTTTATGAATTCTAATGATTTCTGGAGGGTTTTTTAAAATAATCTCTTCCAAAAACATTATGTATTAACATCTTTCAAGGTACTTCAGTACTGTGTCCCGCTAAGTGAACCCTGTATTGAGTACCCAAAGCAGTTGGAAAGACTGTCTCACTCAGAAACTATGAATATGTATTTTCTTGAGATCGTCCTTCATAGCTTGAAATTCTTCTATATATCAGTCATTTCACCTATTTTAGCTACAAACTTTTATATATTCTTCTCTGCATGAAATATTTTTTAGTGCACTGCATGAAAGTTTTTAATATAATATTCTTTAGTTTCGCAGCATTTAACTATTGCTTATACCAATTATCTCACAGCTGCAAGTACCCTCTATAGAAGAATATTCAAATCCTCAAAATCTGCTGAGAACATGCAGTTGCCCTCAATTTAGAGAAAAGCTCAAGGCATTCAATTCCTCCTTGCAAAATCTCACCCATGAAAAAGTTCAGTAAGAGAATGGAGCAGGAGGCTACTTAAAATAAATGCAGAAATAAATTAACACACATTTCCTTTTCAGTTGTGAATATAAAGTGTGACTTACTCTTTTAGTTAGCTGGGTGTCCATCATGAAATTATGCACATGTTTTTCAGCTTTGGTAAGTTCTAACTTCCTTGCCACCACAGCTACCACCAGTGCAGTGCACCCAGCACCCTGAAAACAACAAAAGAAACCCCCAAGGTGTTACTACTGCATTTTGCAGAGTCTTTAGTGGAAGTTTCTCCTTTGCTGTAGAAGATTGGCAGACATCAGGTGATTCGTCCCCGGTAAATATAGTGAACACGCTACAGCTATTTCAGGTCAGAGTAACAGGAAAAGTCAGTAATTACTGGCTGGTAAACTATCAAGGCAGCAAAATAGTGAGCAGCATCATTTAAAAGTTCTGCTTTATTTACTGGAGGGGTTGAAAATTTTAACACATCCCATTTCTCGTGCATAAACAAAGAGGGTGATCAAAACAAGTTTTAAAACCCAAAATATTAGTAAATAAATGCAGAATACCCTGTTCTTAACAATTGTCTCAAGGTTACAGCAATTGCTAAAGAGGAAATAAAATTACAGGAGTGTTCAGCATACAAAAAAAGAAAAGTTTCTTAGGATTTTCTGTAGGACCTAAAAATAACAATAAATTTAGTATTTAATCACTTCATTTTACTTCCTTGTTGTTCTCTGAGTCCTTCAATGATCATTTTCTATAGTATTTCTGAGGGTTGGAACTAGATGATCTTTAAGGTCCCTTCCAACACAAACCATTCTATGATTCCATGGTTATTTTATTATCATTTAGAATAGCATACATACACATGACCATTTCTTCAAAACTTGGCTGGAGAAAACATAAATTTTCTAATTTGTGCTGTGTATGTGTATGCATATTCATGTATATACACGGACATGCATGTTCACACAGGGCAAAGCCAGTAGGTGTCTGTCCCTTTGAAATGACAGTGTCTTTATCAGCATCACAAATTGAAATGGTTTTTCTGGTGGAAGAAAAGGAAAGGAGACTAAAATAAGCCAGGTAATGAGAAGCATTCTCTATTATACACATCATTTACTTCACACTATTAATAAATTCTGCTGCCTTAGTCTTTTTCTATTTTAGACAAATCTTTACAGGTTCTTTTTTTAAAAGTACAAAGATGATGTTAAATATACGAGGCTGTGTTTAACTCGCAGGTTCAACCTGTGTCAGTTACTGTCCAGTATAAAGCAATCTCTTGTTGCACATTGAAGCTTACCACATTTTCATTTGCAGAGCTTTCTTTCACTCTTTCTATATTTCTCCCATTAATTTACTCTCTCTCCATTCCCCACCTCTATAACTGCTCTACTGTGTCCAGAAAATCCAGAAGAAATCTCTGAATCTAGCTTCCAAAATACAAATTCCATCAATAAACACAGAGAGACTGCAAAATAAATTAACTCATTGAAACTCTTATTCACGTAGTGTTCTCAAATAAATGAATTGTCTCTCTCTGCCTACTTACTGAGGCACCCAACAAATTTTGAGAAAGTCTCTAATTAATTAATTCTCCATTCCTCTGGCAGATTATTCCAAGAAATCCATCTTCTCCCTCACAAACACCTAATTCTCTCCAACTAGCTCTCACCTATCAAAGCTTCTGTCCCCAACTGCTCTCAGCATTCCCTTGAATGAGTTCCTTGTAATTTTGCTGCATTTCCTGCTTCCTTCCTGTCCTCAATACTAAGCTTTCTAATTTGCTATTCCCCCTCCCTCTGTTCTCCAACCCTGTGTCAATAGACATTCGCAGAAATTTACCTGAAGTCTTGCTTTCTCCATGAGATGAGTCAAAATGGGGCTATAAGTTCTTTTGCTCTCCAGGAGTTAAAAAGGAAGAAGACATCTAATGCAGCTTAAGCCTGAGCACTTCAAAAATTCACTGAGCCTTCTCAGAAGAGGACTAGGCAGGAGATGCTCTACCATATGCCCTCTCTCCCTAGAAAATAAACAGCTTTCTTTTGGTCTCCCTTCCTGTGAAGGAGAGCAGGAGGGAAGTGCTAATATGCAGAAGACTTCTCTGTGGGCAAATAAATAAATAAATTACCCCATACAACAGCAAGAACATGAAAAGAAAAGCAGACACCTTTTGGCCCAGTATGTGCAGGCTGAACAAACATCTACTAAACCAGGAGAAGCCCTTAAAGATCACAGATTTAAAAATGGGCTTCTTTAAAACAAGACCAGGACTCTAGCGATGAGCTGAGCAATGCCTATTTCCTATTTGCAAGTATCTGAAGATGAAGCACATGAACCTCATCCTGAATGCACAGTATTTCTTGCTTGATATGAAATGGTGCATATTAGTCTTCAGTAAAAGCAAGAAGTCTGAAAACAAACATATGACACATCCTCAGCCTTTCAGTTGAGTAAAATGACAAAGACTGGACTGCACAGTGGCATCAGATCTGTGATGGTGATGAAAAACTTGGATTTGTGAGCAGCACAATCTTGAAGCATAAGGTTTACAGCCATTTACACTGGACAGAATTCACCTTGACTGTCAATCTGTTTAGCTGCTGTCCTGTATGAAAACGTTTTGATGTATCTGCAAACAACTTTAGGACACTTCATATCTTCATTCTAAACGTGCTGCTCCTGTTCAGGACAAAGAACAATGCCTTAAGTTCAAATGCCCGTGCAGGTGAGCAACAGTCCATGAAAGCCTTCCTTCGGTACCTTCTTTGATGCCTAGAATTCAAAGTGAGTTGCCCCAATAGAAATAAGTGTATGTGGGTATTTGACTCACATATATACTTACGTCTTGTTAAACACTAATAGGCTAATTATTTTCTCAGTTACACAAGCCTAAATGATGACCAGTTCTCCTTAGAAAAATGAATGGAAGAACAGACTAGGTTGAGGGAAAAAAAAAAATGTCACAGGCACTGGCTTTTTGACATCAAGCCCACGATATTTGAAAACAGCAAGAGAAGAAAGGTGAAATTAATTGTATTTTGAGTTATACTTTAAATTCAGCAACTGAAAAAAATGCTTAACGCCCTTCAGAACAAAATAACTATTACTTAGTGTTATCTTTCACTTTAGCCTTAGGCATCATAAACTGCAACTTTCCCTATCTGTCTGCACAGTCTCTCCTCTTGGCACTTAGTGCTGAATTATTGCAAGCTTCCTTTCATCTGCTTTAACAAAGCAGATTATCTCTTTCTTAGCCATATCAGAGATTGCTGCAACGGTTATTTTCTTTGCCTGTCATTTTCACTATGTTACTCTGCTCTGTGTCCATCTAGTCCCGTCTCTATGGCATCACATACAGAACATCTGCCCTCAGTTGCAATATTTTATGACTCCAGGCTCTTCCATCTGATGGATTTGAGCTCTAATAAGCCCTTTCAGACAAAATTCTTTGCATCATTTCTTGACTTAGGAAAAGCTCCCTGGAAACATGTACAAATCTAACATAGAGCTTCCTTTCAAATTCCTCCCCTTCTTTTTTACATTACTTATTACAAAGCCGCAAAACCAGTGAGGGTACTTAAGATTCTGGTGTGCCAACATCACTTCTTTTGATCCTACGTAATGCTTCCTTGTTCCCCAGTCTCTTTGCTACCATGGAGATGGTAAACTGTTCAGGAATTTGGACTACATATTTCTACTGTCTTTATACAGTAATGGTATCAAAAGGATGAGGTGTTATGAGTCCTGAAGTGCCACAGGAATATAAATAACAATAAATAAAGATCGTAGGTCTGTATTAACCAATTGTACTGTACATATCATAACACTAGACCTGACTTTGCCTTTTTTTTCTCATTCAGATCCTGCTGTGGTTTGCCAAGATTATATATCAGTAGACTTACTATATCCTATACCAGCTGACATGCCTTTAGCAGTCTAATCACAATCATCTGTCCTCTTCATTGATGCAGCCTACCCTGAGCTTTCTGCTGTTATCATCAGAACAACCAGACCAAAGCTGACTAACTTAAAGCTACCACAGGGAATTTTACATTATGGTCAGCCACTGCAGACACAGCCATGGCTGCCAGAGGGAAAAAGGTGGTGTTGCTGAAAGTTTCTGATGAGAGTAACGCTATGAAGTTTGGATCAAACCATGTCTTTCCTACTGCTCACAAGTGCTAAGACTGAGGGTTCCCACTGGTGCAATACATAGCGATTGCAAAACTGCAGGATTCAGGCTTCAATAAAGTCTAGCATTTACACCTAACATTCTGATAAAGGCCCAGTTTTGGTGATAACCAAAGAGAGGTGCTTGCAACTCTTCAACTAAAGAGTTATCTAAGGCAAAGAATGGTTAGTACTGGCTGATAAGCTGCACTGAAAACAGTATTTGGTCAGCAGAGAAACCCTATACTCCTCTAAGTAAATGCCTCTGGCATTTCCACTTGGTTCTTTCTTTGGTAGGATTCCAAAATACCTTTACAGCACAACAATGAATTAAGACATTTCTGCAAATTCCTGGAGGTCATATACACGCCTGGAGGGTGCTATTGGTGAGAAAGGAAGCAACACCGTGTATCAGTGTCTCAGCTGAAAGTCTCCCGGGCAGCTTTGGTTTCCTGGACTGGAAGTGAAGTGCAGTCTTTAGTGCTGTAGTTGTCACAAAAATGTCCTGCTATACTTGCCTGTAGCTGAAAGAAGGCAGTTGCCACATTTCTTGCTCACTTCCCTTGGGATCCACTGAGGGAGAGAGAAGGTCCGCTTTGCAGACATATGGTTCTGGTGGGAAATTTATCTCTGCACCAGAAAAGGCACAACATTCCTCCTGCTGCTCTGCATAAAATGAAAATCCTGTAAGAATTTAAACAGGTATTTTGTTTATTTGGCTCTCTAGAAGGTGGACTTACAGGACCACCAGGGGAGGGGGAAAAAAATAATTTGAAAAAAAATCTTGCTTGAAGTAAAAGAAAAAAACCTCTCCAAAACAAGCAATGCAAAAGTTGAGGGAGGAATCCATCCACAAGACAGACAGAGGCTCGGGAAACGGTGTTGTATAAATGGGTTTTTGCATTTGTCATTGTTTACTAGGAGAGATGTGTAACCTTGCAAGACTGAAACAAAATAGGATGAGTAATAGGACAACTATGCCATCTCAGCCAAAAAGGTGACCTAAAATAGTTTTGTATTATTTACACTTTCATATACTCAA